TTAAAGATCCAGGAACATTAAAGTTCAGTCAGTCAGTCAGCAACCACATAGAACTTCGTACGTGCGTACGACAGTTCGAGTTGCCATACCACATTAGCACACAGATACAATTGTCAATTCGAATCCCATTGTGGTAAAGGTGGTAAAAGTATAAGCAGTAATCAGAAAAATTAGGGTTTGAAGATCTTATTACAAGAGTATAATTCAGTGAAACAAAATTGGAAAGAAAAAAAAGGAGACAAGGAGAATTCAGAAGGGAAAACACAAAGAGTGGATGCACCTACGCTTTTGCAAACGATTTCGAGCCATGTCATTCAAGATCTTTAACCATCGGTTGCTATCATCTCGCGGATCCCAACCAGGTAGTCTACACCTACCAACATGACTCAGTCCACTTGTCAGTGACTTCATGGATTTGTGCCATGTTTTGGTCTGGCCACCCCTAGCTTTCTTCCAACCTACTCCTACACCATAAAACATTGCACGTCGAAGCAGTCGGTGGTTACAGCACAACTAATCATTAATCCTAATAATTTCTCATTAAAATAAAACATGTTTCACACTAGTTTACTGTATATTGAGTAAGCATGATATTTTTTTTCAACAAAAAAATAGACATTAACATTTTTAGACGAGTTCCAATTTCTTCATACCACTTCACAAATTAGCTGTATTTTATTTAGTCAAACCAAATAGACATTTACACACAAAAGTAAGAGAAATTCTGAGAAATTATAATAACTAAAGTAATTTATAGAAATGATTACAAGTGCACATATTCAGTCCTCAATGTGTTAAGGCCAAATCATCTTATAATAATAACACTAATAGTAATAATAATAAAATGATATTCGAAACAGTTTGGCCTCATCTATTTATCAAAAGAAAAAAACGAGAGATTTTCTTTTGTTCTACTCATAATTCTGTTTGATAGTTTTCTTCTGTTTTTTGTTTCACTGAATTAATTTAATCATAATTATTTTATTTCTTTTTTTATTCATTTCAATCAACTGATTTTTTATAAAATCTGTGCATAATGCTAACTAACACCCGCAGGTTTAAGTTAAAACAAGCAATATAACATTTATAATAGAATTAATTGGCAACCTAATCATAATGATAATAATAATATGCTCACATATAAATATGTTTTCTTTTAAGGACAAATAATCAGTCATTTGAAAATATTTTATGCCTAAGTTTTAAGTAGTATGTCTTACATATAAGTAAATGTTGCCATACGAGTATATTACTTTTTTAAAAACCTAAATATTAATTCATCTTAAATAATAGATTTTTAAAAAAATTGATAAAGGTTATATGGAGTTTACCAACAATATTTCCCTTGTCTTCTTTCACATGTATGATCTCTGAATGATATCCAAGTGAACTTAATGAGTTGTTAATTTGCTTAGTGATGAGTTCTAAGTATTCGTAATTGCGTTTTTACGACTAATTTCTATCTAGAATATAGAATAAATACGTCCGATTTTTTATATTATGTTGACTTAGAGCTAATTGTTTTCAAAATGTCTTATTCTTCTTTCATTTATGATTGTTTACTAAATTAAAAGAATTGAAATGTCTGAATAATTAGTTTATTTCATATAATGACCAGTAAGGTTTATATTAAAATAATCGAAGTATCACAACTTACAGAAACGGTAGTACAATTATTAGATATCAGTTATGAAATAACTAATAGGAATAAAAATATGAAATATCTGTTACATCACCTAGATGGATAAAATTACTTCGTTATTTCATTTAATTTATAGAATAGATGAAAGTCAAATGATCAAATAATTTCAAGTGGACACATATTGTAGATCTTCTTAACAAATCGTTTAATAAAAATAACCTGGTTTGGGCCATTAAGATAGTTAGGCTGTTTGAATACAATCAATCGAATAATGTGACTCAAAATTGATCGAATTTATCAGATTCAAATACTTCCGAAGTTCCTTCAATTAGCAGACTACATATGCTTTCAATGAGCGTTATCCATAGTGTCGATTGTTTCTCTAAATATATTTATTACTGTTCATGAAAAGCCCCCAAACAACAGTTTAGACTTCCTTTATCCATTTACACTAGAGCCATTTTGGGTTTTCGACTTTTATTCAACTTTACAATATTTTATTTGATAGTTGAATAAGAAAATTTTAAAATTGGTGCCAATAAAAATTAATAATCTCTTTGTGTCCTAGGACGTTTTATTTTCGTAGCTTGGGTGTTTTACTGAGGCGTGTGTACTGTTCCCTGACAGTAATACTTGGACACTTCTCCACCTAGTTTATACTCGTTTTATTAATTAACTGTGCTATATTTTATCATTCCTAATTAAAAAGATATATTTACTTATCATACATGAGTTAATATTATAAAGGCCTGCTGAACAGTAAATCATTTTCTAAATATCAATAAAACCAACAGCCCAACCACTAACAAAAAAACTTGATTGTTTTAGATCCATACAAATATTTATCATTCATTTTAACGTATATAACTTAGATTTTAACGGTTTCTTTCCTCTATCTTAAATGGATGACTGTTTTATAAGCCATATTTATCAATCTTGATTTATTTTTGATATTACTAGAAGTAAAATAAATGAAAGAACATAAAAGTCACTTCTATATATTATAATCGATAAACTGAGCAATTAAACAAATAGAAACTTCACGAAGTAGAAGGATTCTTATGGACAGTAATTCATTTTTTCAATGATTATATTTTAAAAGCTATGAAAAAATTAACGGTTTAATGTTAGCATGTTATGTGGTATTGGGAATGATTTAATCTATACTGGATTCTCCTGAAAACCATGCTTTGCAGTAAAACAGTTTATTTAAAACACGCCTAATCCAGTAAAATATTATTTGTTACCAAAGAATAACTATTTTATTCAAAAGACGTTTTGTCCATTTAATATAGAATTATCTTGGTAAAACCCTTTCTCTGGTTGATGTCCTAGAGATTCTCGTTTTAAATCCGCTACAGTAAAGATTTTAAAGCTAGTTTAAATATGATATAATAAAATTAAGAAAACAATATGTACAGACGCCTTTAGATGGTGGTTGGAGGTAGTCAACAGGATGGTGGCCACATTTCAACTCAATCGATAGCATTCGATCTGCACCAAAAAGGACTTGACACACATGACACTGATCACCACCATGTGATTACAGATGTCTTTAAAAAGAAAAAGGCTAATTTACTTGCCTCTTGGTTCAAGAGTGCTTCATCGAAAGAGAATTCTGCAAAAAGCTTGCGAATTCAACATGTTTCCCGAATAAATTTAGAACAGAAGAAAAGCCACAAAAAATGTCATTTTGTTACTTGAAAGTTTTTAAGATTGGCTGAGGTTTGAGAAAGCTTTTGTGGAATTTTATCCTGCCTGAAAGCAAATTTTATGAGTTAAATATGTTTTCTCAAACTGTTTCAGAAAAATGCAATGAAAGTCCAGATAAATACATGTCACTCATCAGAACGTGATAAAAATTAAACATAAGTCGTCATTCTTGCTAGACTTTACGAATAACAAATTCAATAGGTAACATCCATTTTTTATGATAAACGGACTGAATAAATAAGGTCGTCAAGTTATTTATGAATCAAAGCAGGTAAATTGTCAATATATTAAACGATCAGGACTGCGGTAGTCTAGTCTACTATTCTTTTGGAATTAATTAGCATACTTGTTAAAAATGAAGTATAACGGTCAACACATTCCCCTTGTTTATATAGGATCGTGCCAGTCGTTGAGCTTGAAATGCCTGACGAAATACAGAACAGAATGAAGTATCTGCGTTACCTTTACTTTACACATCTTAAACGATTAAGAACATATAGTTCTGGTTTACAAGTCACCAAGACTGTTTTGATTTCAATAAACGAGGCATACATAAGGTTAAAGAAACATTTACAAGTTGTTCAAAGTAAAGTAGGAATTTTGGAAACTACTTTACTACTCTAAAGTGCAAACAAGTGATATGCGCACATATGGTAGGGTTAAAAACCTTTACAATCAATTTCTGAGGTCAGTTGTATTTAAAAACAACATTTGTTAAGAGCAACATATGCCATAAAAAGTGAAACTGATTCGTCACCTATCATTTATGAGAATGAAAAACGCACATGGTGAAACTTAATTATGCAATGAAAGTGAAATACTACCCAGAAATACCTCAGTACGGCAATATAAAAACAAACGTGACACTTATTGATCTTAATTTGTCGGTTTTTCCCTCAACTTTAGCACAAAATATTGTTAAAAAACTCTAATGATGAATGACTTCTTTTATGAGGATAACTCTTGATATAAACATGTATGAACTAGGGATCTCTCAAAACATACAAGGCACTTAGTGATTCTGTTGTCTTTAATTTCTCACTCTAGAAAAGTACATGTCTACGATTTTACGATAAATTGAAGACAAAGTTCATAAGATATGTAACTGTTGCTTTCCCATTGCACCATTGAGTTAAAAGCTGGAAACCAACTTTATATTACTCATGTTTTTCAAATCGTTTTATGACGTTTTCACTTCATGGCAGTTTTTACGTAAGTTGCTAAACGATAAGTAAAAACACTGAAACCAGAATAGGTGTTTAAGACATTTTACTTCTCATAGGCTCGTTGTGCTAAAATCTACCAGAAGATTAAGTTTTTCTTTGTAAACTGCGCTTTTTCATTTCTTATTTATCTTTACTTAGAAAGATTTAGGTTTTCCTTTAAACGGTTCGCTATATTTAATCTGATTCTCTGGCTTGACAAAATGTAAAACACAAGGAAGTCGCATAGATCTAAAAGATTAACTTAGATTTGAAATTAAACTCTAGACTTTTAAAAATTCATATAAGACCTGTTCATGGCACCTCATAAACACAAACAAAGAACTAACAACAATCACTGAACGTTTTGCTGATTTTGTCATTAACCAAAGCGATATTCCCTAATTCTACGAAACTGTATGTTATTATAAACGACAACTTACATTCACTTCAATTGGTTTGAAATTAGGAGCTACTTTATTTTCCTCCTCGCTAGTCCCTCTGAAATTGGATTTCTTAGGAGAGGAGTTTTCCGGACAAACGTTGCTGTTGTTCTGCACCGAATTTGATGTAAATGATTTTTTTACACGCTTTGACTTAAAGTAAACCTTTTTTCTTATATTTATATTAGATCTTGGAGAGCAATTAATAATTGAGCTACATAGCATATTGCTGGCTGCGTGCTTTAGATTTTGAGAAACAAAACCATTTCGAACATCGACGTTAGAAACCATGTTGTGTTCAGTAGCATTTGAGAATGAATATTCTCCATCTCCTTTCAGAGTTGGAATTCGACTGTGTTCAGACTTTTGTGCTGGATCACACCTATCGAGTTCTTTGCTTGCGGAATAGTCATGGTTTTCTTTATTTGACTTATCTGAGTTGTGTGCTTTTGCCTCAACATGTGATGGCAAAGTTAAAATAAAGGGATCGGTGGTTTTATTTTTTTCTGAGTTTGTCAAGTCCACTGGTAACTGTAAACTGGTTTGGGCTTGACTCTCAGAGACATAAGTACTCGGAAGCTGGTTAGACTGTTCAAAAGCCACACCGGAAACTCGTTTGTACTCATTAATCAACTCTTGATTACTGACTGCAGTGTTATTAGACTGAAAAATATCGGTAAGAACAGCTGACAAATTTACTGAAGAATATGAGCTTGAGGTGTACGGTGGTTGAACTGGAAAGTTAGTGATATTATTTGTCTGTCCACCCCAAGTGGGATTGTGAACTGGAGAATTTATAGTGACATCATCTAAATGTTGGTGTGGAAGTGAATTATAAGAGAGAGAATTTTGGATCATTCCAAAATATAATTCCACAGATTGTTGTAAAGCGTAAGCTCTGTCTATTAACGACTTATAACAAACAGACATGGCTTCATAATTTGGACAATTAGATTTTGGAACAGGTATATTAGTTATGCAAGTGCTAATAGAATTTATAACATTCTGCCGCCAATCTAAGTACGCTTCATATTTTGTAGAAATGTGCTTGTAAAGTTTATCAATTTCTTTAGAATTTGAGTAGTAGAGCTCATCATTATAAGATCCATTAGAAGGGCTTTGCTTGTTCGAAGTAACTGTCACAGGATTTGTAGAATGATTCAAATGGGTCGAATAAAATAAGTTTGACAGATTGTTGGAAAGAGAACTGCCTGATGTTTTATCGAAACCATGATTGACTTCCGCTAATGATGGGCACGTAGAAAACGATCCACTTTTTAAATCATTCGACGTTTTATACTTCAAAAGAAAATAATTTAACATAGCAGCATAAAGTTTAACGTGTTCCGGAGATGCAGTTATATTGCCATCACTTAATATTTCACTTGAGCGTTCTGTACCATTTAAAGAGGAAGGAAGAACATTATTTTCTTTTGTAACCAAATTTATAGGGCCAAATGGTGAATTTTTAAATATCATTTTGACATCTTCTCTTGAGTCTTCTTCCGTTGTTTCACGTTTCTGAGGTGCAGCAGTTTTCCTTTTGCGTTTGTTAGAGCCATAATAATATTGCTCGTCAGATATATCGTATTTGTTATCGATATAAGTGTCATTGAACTCATTAAATTGATGCATGGCATGTATCATAACACCTCTTGGCATAATATTTTAATTCATTAAACTGCCTTTAACTGTGATTTATGAATGACGAATTCACGATACTCAATGTCTGTTTAAAAAAGTACGTCATAAGCTACTGTGATACAGATACTAAGTGACTCCGTAAAACAAGGCAAACTTGTATCTCAAATGTTATTCTGCATGAAAACTCAAAAGTTAAGGTCTGAAAATGAGAGGTTATTTCAATAGAAAAATTGAACCTAAACTTAATTTGTATAGACTCATTCTGCAGTTGTAAGGGTAAGGTAACAATGGTCCTTATCTCTTTCACATGTTGTATCAAAAATGAAACCATTGGGTAGTGCAAATAAAATTTCACTGAGCTTTAGACAATCCATTCGTCAATATGAACAGGTTTTACGTTAGACTAAGGGTCAATGAAAGTCTGCCGAACTTCATAAAAGTCGAAGATAACTAACGCTCATTATCCATTTGCACACTAGTGACTGGTCACTGCGTATGAGGCCTCGCTCTATTTACGTAATCAATCGTTACAAGTGCATTCCTTCAAAAGCGGTATGTTTGTTCTATGTTGCCAGCAAAGTCGATGCAGTACCTGGATACCACGAAGAGTAGTCCGCTTTAGGTACCGACCAGGAGTTAAGACTTCTATGTGAGCTAGGTCGCACAATTCCTCTTCAGCTCGAGTAGACCGTAAACATCAGAATAGATCACCTAAACTGGTGGACTACAATCTCGTTTACTCTACAGATAAACTTTGTAGGATTAGTAAATTCAAAATTATTTTGAAACATCGTCCAAGTCCACCAACTAAATTTTATTTCGTTTGATCAGTGGTGTATACCTAGCTTCAATTGATAATTGAGGTAATTCGATGAGAGAACAAAACATAAGTTATTTACTTTCTCTTGTCATCTCAAGATGTGTTATTTAAAATACATTTCTTTTAACTCCTTCTTATCATCTCTCTTTGACCACAACTTCAGTAAGAATGTGATGAAAGAATGTGGTGGTCGGTATTCGATATATCCCTTAAACTTCGTATACAATTCGTCTTGATAACCGTCCTATTTAACCCCAACGGTATATTATTCAGAAGGCGAATACGAAGCGTTGATTACGTTTATTTCGAGACCACACACACAGATGTCCAAAGTTACAGATGCATTAAACGAGCATTAAGAGTTGTGTCAAACGGCAAACAGGCAAGCGAGCGACTGAGCGAATGTAAGTAATCGAGTACAATCAAGCGAGCGAGAAAGCAGAGTGACATAACTGCGTAGGCCGTAAGCAATATTCAAGCCTGCGTATTTCATACAAGCGCAAAATAATAATAAGGGTACAATAAATTGTTATAGTGCGGATGGCTTTGTCCGCTAAATAAGTTAGCAAAAAGGGCTTAACTGAGTTAAATGAGAACAAACCCATTTGCACGTGAGTCGCTATAAGAATATCCTCAATAGTTTGATATTTTAAAAATTTATCGAAATTGAGCCAAAAAACCCGTATTTTCTCAAGCTTATATTACAAAGAACTCCAACCACATTTTCAATAATTATTCATCACATGTTAACTGTCATTTAGTAGGACAGGACAACTCTCGAACGGATATACATAAAATATTGTATCGGTCAAACACTGTCACAAAATAAGAACATGAAAACAGCAGACGTCCTTCCTGCCGAACATTTGCCACATTTAGTTGTCTTCATCGACTTTCCAATGGAGTGTTGTCTACAAAATATCAAAATCTCATGAACAATTTTACCATCTATTGTAACAGGAAGTTCAACTAACAAACACAAATGGTAATAATTTCAGGCCAATCTGGTTTTCATATATCTACATACAATCTCTGCATTTTTGGCGCTAGCATAAGACACCAACTGTTACTTCGACACAGGTTTACAAAAGCCATAGGCTACGTGTTGCGGGAGAGCTAAAGACATTGGGTTGATAAAAGCTTTTATTTTAAATATTAATTCACTGTGTTTTTGAATGTAATCTTTTTATTGACCTCTTGAACGTGTTTGTTTATATCACTATTTTCGGACATTTTGGTGCTCTCTTTGTCTTTGGTTTGTTATTTGGGAGTTGTTGCTCCGGGAACCTACAAAATTGAAGGTTTGTTTTGTAATTGTTATAATTACTGTTGTTAGAACGACTTTTGGTCGATTATTTGTGAACTGCGAATAAACTTGGTACCTGATTTGGAGTTTTGGTTCTCTCGCCTACTTAGGTTCGTGATTTGCGAATATCGACGGCCAGTACTTCAAAAGCTGAAACGGGCAAAAACGCATTCTTGGACGTGACGTGCGGGCCATTTGCAAAATAAATACAAGGTCGTAAAATCTACTCCATTTCGACAGCTAATAGAATAACGACTCACACTTCAGTGACACATAAGTTTAATACTTTTTATAATGATAGAATATCGTGTCTTTACTTTTTCCATGATATGCTACGTCTGTTGACATATATATCATATCTACGATGTATCTTTATCTATAGAGAATACGCTTCACCATTAATTAATTGATATTAACGTTACACATGGACTTCACCGGATCACACTACACAAAACCGAATCGACCATATCTGCATCAACAAAAAGTTCAGGAGGACGATGGAAGACGTGGGAACCAAGAGAAGAGCTGATATAGCATCAGATTATCACTTGCTGGTCACCAAGATGAAATTGAAACTCATGAAGTACTGGACAACGGGGCGGACAATATCACAAAAGTTCAATACGGCCTTTCTTCGGGATATTGACAAACTCAACAAATTCAAGATAGTCCTCAGCAATAAGTTCCAGGCCCTTCACGATCTACTCAATGGAGAAAGAACTACTGTGGAGAGCAACTCGAAAGGGATAACAGGCAATCACTTCAACATGTCATGAGGTTCTAGGCCACAAGAAGTACCACCACAAGGAATGGATCACTGTTGACACACTGAATAAGACTCAAGAATGCAGCGATCAATACCAGCCGAACAAGAGCAGAGAAAGCCAAGGCGCAAGCTGAATACACAGAATTATTCAATCAAGTGAAGAGGAGCATCAGAACTGACAAACGTAAATATGTGTAAGATTTAGCAATGACGGTTGAAAAGGCTGAAAGAGAAGGAAACATGAGAGAACTGTATGACACGACAAAGAAACTCTCTGGAAATCACCGCAAACCGGAGCGGCCAATGGAAAACAAGGAAGGCAAAGTACTCACCAACACTGGAGAACAACGAAGCAAATGGGTAGAACACTTCAAAGAACTCTTGAATCGACCAGCTCCACTGAACCCACCCAACATCGATGCAGCACCCGCGGACCTCCCAATCCATGTCGGCCTATCAACATTTGAAGAGATCAGCATGGCCATCAGACAAACCACGAGTGGCAAAGCAGCAGGACCAGACAACATTCCAGTAGAGGCACTGAAAGCAGACGTAGCAGTAACTGCAAGGATACTCCACATTCTCTTCAATAAGACAGACTGGAAAGAAAGACGTCTGGTCAAAATATCAAAGAAAGGCGATCTCGGCAATTGTGATGACTACAGGGGCATCACTCTTCTCTCAATACCTGGAAAAGCCTTCAATAGGGTAGTGTTAAACAGAATGAAGGACTGCGTAGACGCCCAACTTCGTGACCAACAGGCAAGATTCCGTAAGAATCGGTCGTGTACATACAAAATCGCAGCTCTATGGATCATTGTGGAACAATCAACTGAATAAAACTCATTACTCTACATCAACTTCATTGACTACGAAAAGGCATTTGATAACGTGGACAGAACAACACTATGGAATCTCCTTCGACACTACGGCGTGCCTCAGAAGATAGTCAATATCATAGAGAGTTCATTTGATGGATTACACTGCAAAATCGTGCATGGAGGACAGTTGACAAAGTCGTTCGAAGTAAAGATCGATGTCAGGCAAGGTTGCTTACTCTCACCCTTTCTATTTCTCTTGGTGACTGACTGGATCATGAAGACGTCAACGTCTGAAGAGAAGCGCGGGATACAATGGACATCTAAGATGCAGTTGGATGATCTAGACTTCGCAGACGATCTGGCCCTTCTATCCCAAACGCAACAACAGATGCAGGAGAAGACAAACAGCGTGGCAGCAGCCTCAGCAGCAATAGGTCTCAATATACACAAAGGGAAAAGCAGGATTCTCCGATACAACACAGAATGCACCAATCCAATCACAATTGACGGAGAAGATATGGAAGGTGTAAAAACCTTTACGTATTTGGGCAGCATCATTGATGAACAGGGTGGATCTGATGCAGATGTGGAGGCGCGGATCGGCAAAGCAAGAGCAGCATATTTACAACTGAGGAACATCTGGAACTCAAAGCAACTGTCAACCAACACCAAGGTCAGGATTTTCAATACAAATGTCAAGACAGTTCTACTGTATGGGCCGGAAACCTGGAGAACTAAGACAGCCATCATCAAGAAAATACAGGTGTTTATTAACAACTGTCTACGCAAAATACTTCAGATCCGTTGGCCGGACACTATTAGCAACAACGTACTGTGGGAGAGAACAAACCAGATCCCAGTGGAGGAAGAAATCAGGAAGAAGCGCTGGAAGTGGATAGGACACACATTGAGGAAAGCACCCAACTGCGTCACAAGACAAGCCCTCACATGGAATCCTGAAGGTCAAAGGAAAAGAGGAAGACCAAAGAACACATTACGCCGAGAAATGGAGATAGACATGAAAAAAATGAACAAGAATTGGACGGAACTAGAAAAGAAGGCCCAGGACAGAGTGGGTTGAAAAATGCTGGTCGGTGGTCTATGCTCCATTAGGAGTAACAGGAGTAAGTAAGTAAAAAAGTAAGTAACGTTACTTTTGGTGTTAAAATAAGTACTATCTACATCGTTCATTTCTCTGCTTTATTGACCACGAACTAATGTTGAAAAACTAAAATATGCTATTATTTCTCCAACATCACTCTATACTACGTGAAATTATTGGTTTGGACCACTCTCATAATAATGCTGGATTAAAATCAAACTTCAGAACGTCAACAACTTATTCTCAGGAGAGTATTTAGTTACTGAGTGAACTCCATTTGCAGTGG